TAATTATCGTACTAGAATGGGTCTTACCAATTCAGCGGCTCAACGAATATCAGCCTGTGTTTGAGCGTAGCAAAAGGACGTACTGAAGAGATTGCGGTTGTGCAGTTCAGAACAAAGCTATTTAGTAAAAGCAAAATAAACCCACTAGTCAAATTTTATTTAGGGGTAACTGGTCGTTGGATACTTACCGTGGAAAAAATTTGAGTGGTTAGTGGAGATGGAATTTGCTGCTCCTGAATGTTGGCTTGACAATCAACTAGACCATATTTTCAACTTCGTTCTCTTAATACTGATGTTTCGCTGCCTTCGAGAGACAGTTCAGTCCACCATACAATAATGACTATGGGTTGGAATCAAACAACGTACTGGGTTAATTAATGGCGGAATAAACCACTGTCAAACGCATGGCCTCATTACTCGATGTTTGGATCAAAGTGAGTGATCATCGGGCAGCCAAAAAGAGGAGAGAAGGGTATGGATGAGACCTGCCAGTGTGCACCAAACACTCAAGAGGCGGCCTGCTCGGTGAAACTGAGGGTCATATTTGTGGCTAGAACTTGATGTCACAAAGTCGGTTGATTTTCACAAGCCCTGAGCACAGCCGATTTCGACTGGTCGTCCTCTTGACAGATCACACGGGTTGTGTGAAATACCAAGGCCCGTGTCTGGATCCTATCTGCATTCATTGACAAACAGCTTTCGTTCACTGGTAGGTTGTAAGTATAACAGCGTCGGATAGAAATTCTGCTTAGGATGCTCTTGCCTATGGGACAACTGAGTGAATATCGGTAACATTGAGTGCGTCCCGATTTCATACGCATATGCTTGTAATCCCACGAAAGATTTACAACACTATCACCAAATCACGTCAAGTTTTGTTCCTCCTCCGCATGATTTTTTCCTCCTCATCCACCCGTTGGCATCATGAAAACCTTATTTAGAAAGATCCCCCCTTGCTTTCATGGTTAGCGTGGGCACACAGAAGTTCCATTTATCCTTGGAAGTACACAGCTTATCGTTTCATTTGGAACCAGTCAACTAGGTATGTAATGTAATGTAATGTAAGCATGCAGGGTTCTCGTACTGGGTGCTAGAATACGTCGCACGGCAGTTAAACCCGGTTAACGAAGGAAATTGGTGACAGTTTGAAGAAGCTCTCATCGGTAGTGTCTTTATAGAAGCTTTTAAAGTTAGTGAGTTTGTTGTGTTTGAAACGGAACAGAGTAGTCTTTCTTGACTATGGGACTAACAGACGTAGAACAGTTACATAACGCGATATTGTTTGGAAGGTATGGCGGACTGAGTCCTGAAAACTTGCAAATCGAATTATTTAGACGAGTGTACTAGGCAGTTTCATTACACCAAAAATTTCAAGAGAAACCTGGAGAGATAGCAGAGGATATTGGTTTCCCTCAGAAACCTTTAGATGCGCCATTAGTCTCGCTTTGACCTGTTAGACGTTCTCAGTTCATTTATTTTACCGTAATCGACATAATCTAATACAGGCCTAAGATTTGATTCGATGTTGACCGAATTTTAACGCTGTGTCGATTGTTGACAATGGATAACTCTAGAGGCCTTCCAGTCAAAGTTGATATTGCCGAAAATTAACCAGTGGCACATACCGCACCAAGTTGTTATGTTATAGGCCAACTGGTTTTGTATACCACTCCTTTAAATTGCATCCCGTTAAACTGCTTTCTAAAACGCTATCATGGTTGTCATTTATTTCTGAGTTTGCCTTTTTGTGTGTGTATTTGTCCAAGCATATAATCAGCTAGTGCAAACGTGGTTGGTTGTGTGATGGCCTTTAAAGGCGAATTCATCGGTATACTTATATCCTGCGAACGGAAAGCCCAATCGTGGTCCAATCAACTCCTAAACCACACTCAAAATTTAGCATCCTATGCGCATGGTGTTAAAACAGAAGCGAAAAATGCCTATATTACGCTGATATCTTTAAAGTTGTCACAAACTCGATAATCTACCCTGCTAGTTCTACCTGTTCTGCCGACATATATAGACAAAGTTTAGAGGTCGGCTCTCAAAAACATCTCCATATCTGATTGCTTAAATAGTTTACCTAGTGTAAAAAGTTAGCAGCATCCCAATCGACAGTTTGCATTGTTTACATAAAAAGGACTAGTGAACACAACAAAAACAAAACATGACAGGATTGATAATGTGAGTCAGTTATCATGGGTACAACTTCCCATAGAAAACCACAAACTTCACTTTGAGACACAAGAGGCGTTAAATCTGTACAGCCATTTGCACCACGGCGTATCTTTGTGTCCACATCTTGAATCTCTACATTGTTAGTCTTCTGATGTCGAAGAGTTTATCTGAATCTCTGAATACCAGTTCGAATTCTAATAACAGAAAACAGTCATTGGTTGTTTTTTTGTCGTGATTTTTTCTAGTCCGACTGGTGAGATACCAGAAAGGCGCAGTGTGTCCCAATAAAATTCCCATTGACCATCTGTAGTAGCTAAACTGTTGGGAGCAGCGTTAAACTTAATGTTTTAAGAACAAAGATTCTAGCTCTCTTATATTCACAACACTCAACACCATTTTTTTCTTGCACAAGTAAACCCAACAATCAGAATTAAGAACGATAATGTCTAGTTATCGCCTGCATTTAGTTAAATTTGCCCTAGCTTTGAGAGGCTTTCGTTTAGGATAGATTGATATAATTAGGGAACGTAATTACCAAACAATCCATGCCAAGCGGTTTAGGAGTTATTGTTTTCCCTAAAACCTGAACCTCACATCCACAAGGTCTGGCGCAAAGTTCTACAGCCAATTGGCGATCAGGCAGTAGTTATGGAGTTGATGAACGGATTAGTCTTTTGTGAGAGACACTACAACCAAGGTTTCTGAAAGTGCCCCGATAACCCATCACAGATAGGATCAGGTAAGAATAGTCCTTAAGTGAGGTATTCAACTTGGATTTGTCTGAGTCTGGCGTTGGCACTAACTTTATTTACCAGTTTCATGCAATCTGAGGCTCAATTATAAAACAAGATTCGTGAACTACGCCTACCTGAAGAGCCACAAGAATGTAGAAATCTGTGTGAGCTGTCCATGTCCTCTAGATCACGTATGGCTGGCGTGTTCCATCGTACCAAGTGAAACATAAGGCAGTTTTTCTGCATCAAATTTAGTCAACGAGCGTCAAAAACGAGATTCAGTTGAGCCTCTTAATAACACAACCTTAACTTGCGGATTAGCTTCTACATTTAGGTGCTGTTTTAGTAGTGTAGCACCAAGATGTCCAAATAAGTCAGTGGCCAAAATATTCTAATGTCGACAGATTTGAAAATGTGTTTAAACCTAAGCGCAAGAGGTCATAAGCAAACACCTGCTTTCATGGATATGGCCGATAGTTACCAAACGCTCTGAGTTGTGAGCTGACGGGATCGAGTAAAATGTTTGCAGCTTCATACTAACGCTTTCATGCTCTCGAGCACATCAACCATTGACTAAGACGCTTTTTTTGTTTCCGAGGCTTATTTAGGGGGTTTTCGTTGTGTGGAATGCCATCAAGTTGTTGTAGAGCACCTTGAAAAGATTTTAACTAACTTCAAACCCCCGATCCTTTGAGGCATTTGCACGAAGTCTGGGTCCTACCAGAGACCTTTTTTGGAAATCCCAATTTACAAAATAATATGCTCAAAGCAACTAATAACACCTTGTCTCAAGCAAGTCTGTCAGCATGGACCAAGTTATACAGAGTGTCCAACACTGGAGATCCTCAAGAGATGTGTTGCCCCACAGTTGGAGTGTGGTTTTAAGGTTCATATCAGTGGTAAGTCACCGGAAAGCGCTGGGGAAAGGCCATCCCATTTTAACGTGCGTCGCCTTGGATATCAAGTTTATACTATCATTTAAATTTATTATAATTTGCATAGAAACTGAGGACCCTAGTAGAAATCTAAAATTGGAGAGATCATACTCGTGCCACTGTTTAGTGTGGTTGGGACGTTTAACTCATACAAAATTAGTTTATAAATATTGGTCATTCCCAAAGAGAGTTACCAGATTTAGTCTTCTTAATTACGTGTTGCTGAGTAGCAGTTTCCAATGTACTGCCTGTTCTAACAAGCAGCAAAAGCTAATGTAATTACTCAGTCACTTGTCCAAAGGAACGCTCTTCGGAAAATCACACGAGTGTTAGGTAAAGTAACAATACGAGACAATAGAAAAGGGTTCTCTCTCTTCCAAATAAAGCAAGCTTGTTGGTTGATGAACGAATCAATACGGAAAGGTGAGGCTTTGAATAATCTTTATGGGTTGGAGAGAAAAACTCAAGACTGCTCAGTGAGGTCCTAATAGATGCCCTGCACAAGTCTCTGTATGAAATATGTAAACAGGATGGGCGTTGGTCAGCATTATTCTGGAAACGAATGGCCTTAACGTTCATATTTCTAAGTCTTTTTTTGCTACAAATGGCTTACAGTCACAAATGCCTGACATTGAAAAAAATTGTTTCAGCCCAATGACAGCTCAATCAGTAGCAAGGTTTTGGATCAAAGAATGTTGTTGCCAACGTCGTTGACTTGTTCCAGTTCACTTGGAAAAATAGATATGAAACTGACATCAACTGATCGCTACTGACTGAGACAGTAAACAGGGTTCTATTGCAAATTTAGTTAAATTTGTAGTTGACAATCTTTTTCATAACCATGATCGTGACATGCTTCGAAAGTTCGTGAACATTGACTGAAGCCGCAACTTTCCAACGATAACATGATTTCGTTTGTTCAGTTGATCATTAGATCAGCACAAGAGGAGAGCGGCTTATATATGGTACACTACCCTTTTGTCCTAAATACATGAAAACTGTCATAGTTTGGCCGAAAAGAAAATGGTCAGGCCGGATCGAACGAGTCGTTCAAAGGTTCATTTTTATAACGAATCCGAGACTTGATACTTCAATATGGGTTTGGAATATATCTCAAAAAATGTCAGCAAAAACGATTGCGCGAAAAACTTACAAATCAGTTCCAGTTAGCAACTTGTTCGATGGATCACATTGGCCAAGATGACCACATGATCGCACGCTATAAAACGGCACTTGGTGACGATGGTCCTGCTCGTAAATATTCCAACAACAATGCTCAATTTTCGGAGGATGGTTGCGCAGTAACTAATTCTGGGGACAGGGTTATCAGTTCCTCAGCATCAAGCTACGGAGGTAATTGTGGATGCAGAATGATATCGAGTGGAACGAATGGGTGAACAGACACGCGCCACACATTGCGTAGGCGTACGTCGTGCGACATGAGCTAATGGGCGTTCACCAAATTACGCGTTTGGGGTTAATGAAGTGAAAACGGCAGAATAGGATTGGATTGTACCTAAACATTTGTTTCACACGCTTCCCAGTCGTCCTGGGATTATGGTGCTGCAAAATTAGAACGCAAAATTGCAAAATAAAATGTGGATTTTCAAAATGCTTTGTTTTTGGCGTCCCAACTGTTGGATAATCAAGCCGAATCTTATGCAAGCCTTCACGAATTTGAATCAAGAAATATCACCCTCTTTACTTCAATAAAAGTCACCCCCTTGCAGTGACTGAAAAATGGCTTTTGCGAAAAGATGTAATCTAACCGATCTATCTACCGCATATGCTTGTAATATACGATCGCTTCTGTTTTTGTAGAAATTGGTGATTTGAACGTCATACTGCTTGAGGCTATTTTCCGTCGTGTCACAGAAATAGATGGGATAATTGAGTGGGGAGATTAATGCACCAGGAATTTCCGCTCATTCAGGAGAAAACTGAAAATAATTCTGTGAACGTGTAACGCGAGCAGTGGACACTAAATTCCCATCGAACCAAGCGACTAGGAAGTAATGTGTAGTCTTTTGTCTTTGGGATGCATTTGTTGACAAACCAGGACTGAGTGACTATATTAAAGTGGGATTAGTGTTTCAGCTCGATTAATCGAACCAAACAAAGGATAAAATGTAGAATAATTTAAATGTATTGGCAGCATCCACAGAAGTTCCGTGATAGATGTTTCAGTAACTTATGTTCAACGCAACAAGAAACCTGATTTCGAACTGATGCTTGTGCGGTGTCAGAACCCAGAAATACCTAAGTTATGGCATTGCTTATATACATATAGTAGACGGAGTTACTAGTTCAGAATAAAAGTGTGACAGAGAGTGCCATTTGTAACGCTCTTGATGAAACAGAAAAAGTAAATAGGGAAAAATATGTATGAAAGTTTTCATAAAGGAAACTACTCACAAGATTGCTGAAAACTCTTCGACAGCGCTCATCAGGTAGGCGCATTCCCCGAGTTTCCGTCAACCTTATGATCTACTTGAACCCAAATGTATGAAAGTTTAAATACCCACCTGAAACTCTCGCAAGAAGATGGACACGAGTAAAACGTGAAGTTGGACTTTACGAAGAAACCCATCTCGCAAAGGTCCCAATCAACTGTATTCTTTTCAATTTTTATACTTTAAACATGATCCTGAAGAACATGTTTAGAGGTTCTCAGGTCACTGAAACTCTTAGACTCAGTGAGTTACTGAAACTTCGATTTGGTTTTATGACCAGTGAAGTAACTATTGTCACACCATTATGTTCCCGGTTGAACATAAACATTTTCAGAATAATTCCCACCACCACATTCGGGAAGAAATGTCTCTCACACCTAGATAATTATAACGGAATCCATGTGATCTGGCACAACGACAAAGTAAGAACAAAACTATTTTTGAACTATTTAGTCTGTCCTAAGGACAGGTGTTGTATGCCTGGCTAGCAAGTCGTTAAATTAGAGCATTAGTTTCAGTCGGTCAATTGACCTTGCTGTGTAAGTCTCTTCGAATGCTGCCCAAAGAACTTGGAATCACATGTTTGACCCATTTACACTCATTTTTTGGATCCTATGAAAATGAAATTCATTGTGTGACTGAGCTGTTATTGATCCGGCTGCAATCCTGTCTTAGCTTTCCATGACTTCAACATCTTAACGGAATATCAAGCCCTCACTCTAGTCAAACATGTGCCATCATAACTGCTTGAGTCACGTCTCTTCTAACAACAAACTTTATGCTTGAATTTTGGACCTGCTATTGAGTATCAAATATAGTGAATAGAAACAAGTAGCTTTTTTCCTTTTCACACCATCCACACAACATACCACCCATATAAAAAGGTAATTCACTTTCATTCGTGTGCCTTACCTCACATTTTGTTAAGTAGAAGCTATGTAACATTCCAGCTTCCAGATCTGTAAAAATTTCTGCACCACTCTGCATCAGTGCTGCTGATACCCACCGTAAAACTAGGTAAATTACTAACAAAATCATTTTGACTTTAGACTTTCCTAGTAATATTGGCTTTCTCGCTCGAAAAGAAAACAAAATATGCAGTTAGATTAATAGTTCGTACTTGAAGATTTATGAACTGGCTCACAAAGCGAGGTCAGTTCGATGGCATTATGGAACAAAAGCCTAAGGCAGCACTTTGGATGGACAGAAACACATGAAACACTCAAGCGCAATGTACGACGGATAGTATAGATTATTCAGAAGGTTGCATATTGAAAAACACATAAGAAGCACATAGGGTTCCCTTTATTCACTCCTGTTTTTGAGTTGAAATACCGCAAGACACCTGGGAAATTGAATATACCCAATTGAACATGCCTTCGAACAATTCCACACATTTTCACATGGATCACAGAAAAATCGATCTCCAGACAACATATGGTTCCAGAATAACATTTTTCCGTCAACACCGCTGTCCAGTGGAAATGTCACCACAGACAATTCCAGGTATTCCAAAAAAGGTTAGTGCCTGTCACTTCCAATTAAACACTGAAAGCTTGACAACGGACAACTTCATTCAGGATACACGGAAACAACTTTGGTTAGAAATATTGTCGGACATTTTCAGGATGATGGTCCAGGTGCTGGCAGATAGTGGCTTGGCCAAGAATTTCAATCGAACGATGGTTGTACAAGTCGAGTTGTTTGATCTGACACAGCCAAAATAAAAAAAAACATGTATATAATTGGACGATGCATGAGTCAGTAGTACGTGTGGGTAGTTTATGTGCTCACACTGCTAGAATCGGCTCACATATACACAAATGTCATCCCACAGTAAAAACTTATTTTATCACTTTTTAGTTGTCAGTTCAATGTTACTTACTACCAAAAGCAGTTATTAACCAAAACTTTACTCGGTTTTTGTGCAAGTCACAGAAAAGAATGAAGGACTGGAACTATGAGTTTATAAAATAGGTCAACAAAATTTTGACGTATAATTACTTCAGAAACTTATTGTCTTTTGGTTCAAATTAGAGTGTGGGTAAATCTTGTGTAGGCAGTCACGTGAAGTAAGTAATGGGTCAAATGACAGTAAGTTAAACTTCTTGGTTACATATACGTCGTTCTCATAGAGTTAAAAAACATTTTTGCGCTCATGACGAACTCTTACAAAGCAGACCTTCAAATAAGGAAAATTGCAACATATATTAGTTGGTGACACTTTCGTCTGGCTCTGCTCGTAAAGAGGTTCGGATATTTTTTATTTACACTTGCAGCCACAAGGCATTTTACAGAACATACTGTTGGAAGATTGCCTAAAGGTAGGCTCCGCAGTGTCCATAACAAAAAACTTTTCTTTACGCACACAAGCAACCCTACCTCGTATATTTTTATCGATGAAGCCCACCTACAATTATTATGTTGTGATCAATATTGCTTTCACTCCTGCCTTTTTTTTAAAAAAANCCTTTTTTTTAAAAAAATAACGAAATCAAAGGATTTATGAGGCGTTTTGGATGTTGAGATTGGCACGCAGCTTCGACGAACCTTTTGATCTGCGTTTATCCCTGTTTGAATAACAAATTTTTACATCAGAGTCCACAGTGTTCGTCGTATTATTACACTCATAATGTAAAATAATGCCATACGCAGTAGCCTCTCCAGAAATTCCTCAAAAATTGTGATGAAAATGATGCTGATGAAATTTGTTCAACACAAAGTCACCAATTAGATTAATTTAAAATTTAAATTAATATACATTTTGTCACCACGAATATCCGGCTCGCCAGCGTTTGATCGTGTGAAAATGATATGTACTGCTTCCGCGTAATAGGGTAAATCGGTCACTTTTTGGATTTTTATGTTTGCAAACCAGTTTGGCTTCGGCAGTGCATTTCAGCAAACTCTGGACAAATCTCTTGTTTATGATATTCTTCGGTGGAATATGCAGCTCACGGGCCGTCACACGGTACAATACTAGAGAGTCGGTGTAAATTTGCTTGAATAAAAATGTTCGCTAGGTTGTTGAAATCTCTTCGACGACCCACGACTGGTTTTATTCTTCCACTTGTGCCCCATCAGGTGACCGAAGTCCTCGAGTTTATTTCAAGTTAGAAGCCAGAATTTATAATATAAGATTACTGACTAAAAGGATACCTCTATTCTGGTATCAAACCGGTTGGGGAACAACGAATTCACGGGGATTTTTGTTGCGAACAAAGATGTGTTTGTATTTTGACCGGTTTTTAAAATGGCCCAAGGATGAGGTCGTTGAACATGGGATATGATCCTTAGAGAAGAACCTTTCTGACCCAAAGGCGACAAGCCACTAGATGTAGAAAAATGCCTTGATGATTGTAATTGCAAAAGTTCTCATCTAGTTCAGGGAATACAGCAGAGAAATAGTAAACCCAGCACAGCCTTTTCTTTTTGCTGAGGGTGCTCAGTAGTAGGCATCTCATCAATTTAGAGGGCGGTTCAAACACCAGTGACCATTCGGTTAGCAGTTGAGGACCGTGCATCTTAGCCACGACTTACTGATCAGCAGCGTGGGTAACTTTCACCCACACATTATATAACACCACTCATCCCTAAACAAATTACGTAACCATCTGTTAACCGGCTCGATAAATGGCCAAGTGTCGGAATAACAGCTCATGTGACTTGCGAAATATTTCCTCCGATAAGATTTGGAAGTGCTAGGAGATAATTTCCGTGAACCTTCCATTTAAAATTTCTCATGCGGAAAGCCGGAACAACACGTAACCATGAGATGTGAATCAAGTGACTCAAG